CCAGACTTTGACAACTCTTGTTACAAAAATGGAAATATCAGCTCCAAATCTGGTGCTTGGCCTCAATTTTATAAGCAGAACTAAGAACCTCATCGTGATGGCAATAATAATTCCGCACTCAATCCAACCAAACCCTCCTGGAAATTATCTCATTTTATGCACCTTAAATATTCATCTCTTAAATGAATTAGTTGTCAACACAACACAAGGCAAATCGGTTGACTATCCCGTCTTAAGAGCAGTGTGGGTTTTTGTCCTAGTCATACTTGCGCAGATTAACACGAGGAGGAAACAAATATTTATTTTTTAGGTTTCCACCCCAACCTCCCAACCCCCCTTTTCATTTTACTAAAATGAATTCCTGGGTTTTTTTAGAAACCACGTTCTTGTACAGAAGGAAGGATGTGAATTTGCAAGTCATTTCAAATCACGAGTTATAAAATGACCGTCTTTCAGAAGCTGGACAGTAAATTTGGATTATGTCGAATCAAGGAAGGAATTGCTGCTCCCGTTCCTGTCCTTTTTTGGGGTCAACTTTGGAACAGACAAACAGGCTCTGTGGCAGGAAAATAGAAGACAAAGAATGAACCCATTGTAAAATCTTTTAAATCCATCTTCTCTGACACACAGCTCTCTCACACACACTAAAAAAAAATAAAAATCCACAATGCACAGACAAATATATCTTTCTAAAGCTCTCCACAGCTAAGATCACACAATGAACTAAGCCACAGTTTGTTTCACAGGCTACAATTGGGCTGGTTGGCACAACGTCAAACCATCAATCTTGGTTGACCTATGACAGGTGTCGGCAACCAGCGGCTCCGGAGCCGCATGTGGCTCTTTCGTCCCCCTGCTGTGGCTCCCTGTCAGCAGAACCCACCACTGGCTGCCCCCGCTCCTCACCCTCCCCTTCCAGTCACTCCTCGCCTGGCCTGAGAGAGAGAGAGAGAGAGACAGACAGACAGACAGAAAGAGACACACACAGAGAGAGATACCCGTTTCCCGCAGAAAACACTGGGAGCCACAAAACCTGCGTAGGTGTAGCTGGAGGCGGGGTGGTCATGTGACTGGGTGGGACTGAGTGACATCAAGTTGGCCACACCCACCCAGTTTTTGTGGCTCCCGGTGTTTTCTTTTCTGTGGGAAACAGGTCCAAATTATCTTCGAGACCGCCTGCTGCTACCGACAGCCTCCCACCGACCCGTGCGCTCCCACAGAGAGGGCCTCCTCGGGGTGCCATCAGCCAAACAATGCAGGTTGGTGACCCCCAGGGGGAGGGCCTTCTCTGTGGGGGCACCTACCCTCTGGAATCAGTTGCCCCCAGAGATAAGGAGAATCCAAGACCTCGGTGCCTTCTGCCGTGCCCTTAAAACCTTCTTTTTCCAGCAAGCCGGGCTGGGTCTAATACTTTTTAAAATGTTTTTAATTGTTTGTTATTGTTTTTAATCATGGGGCCAAATTTATATATATCTTTTTTAATTGTATTTCAATGTTTGTAGTTTATGCTTTTACTTGGCTGTTCACCGCCCTGAGTCCTCAGGGAGAAGGGTGGTATACAAATAAATAAATAAATAAATAAATAAATAAATAAATAAATAAATAAATAAATAAATAAATAAATAAATAAATAAATAAATAAATAAATAAATAAATAAATAAATAAATGGCTCTTTGAGTGTTTAAGGTTGCAGACCCCCGACCTATGGCAATGTCTACCTTGGCGTGGAGTTTTAAGTTCAAAACAGACAAACTACAGATATCCCTTAGCAGAATGGATGAACCCAACCACAGCTGGAAAAAAACACAATTTGAAAATACGATTCACTGCAGATTTATCAGAACAAGTCTCGGTGTATATACAGAGGCTTACTCTGGGAAATAACAGTTTTGTGGTGGATTAGAGGGTCAACCTATTCTCCAAATCAGGAGAAGAAGCAATGGATGGGAACTAACCAAGGAGAGAAGCAAGCTAGAACCAAGGAGAAATTTCCTGACAGTGAGAACAATTAGTCAGTGGAACAGCTTGCCACCAGAAATTGTGGGTGGAGGTTTTAGAATAGAAAAAAATAGAATTCTTTATTGGCCAAGTGTGATTGGACACACAAGGAATTTGTGTGTCCCTTCGGGGAGAAGGGCGGGATATAAATTCAATAAATAAATAAATAAATAAATAAATAAATAAATAAATAAATAAATAAGTCTTTGGTGCATAAGCTCTCAGTGTACATAAAGAAAGAATAAAATATATTCATCAAGATACATAAGATACAACATCTTAAAGATAGTCATAGGATACTAATAAGCAATCAAATCACACTAGGAAACAAACAGAACAATGTAAGTTTTTAAGAAGAGATTGGACAACCATGTGTCTGAAACAGTGTAGGATTTCCTGCCTGAGCAGGGGGTTGGACTAGAAGACCTCCAAGGTCCCTTCCCACTGATAAGAGGTTTTGGGTAGACAAGACAAAGCTCATTAAAGCTCACGAGTTAGTAACTTTCTCCTCCCTAAGGTGCCTGGAAAAATTACAACTCCTATTCAAACAAACATTATTATGGTTTCAGCACTCCGTTTGCCCCAAAAAAAAACATTTTCTTCCACACACCCGAGAACATCAAAAGGGGTTTTAAAGATATCGTGAATGAACTGAGACCCCCCCACACACAAGAGGCCAGAGCTTCAAAGCCAGGAGTCACCCTCTCTTTATTTTACTCCCTCCCAACTCCTCTTGTAGAGGAAACCGCCCCAATTTTTTTTAAAACTGTTTGGAAAGAGGTGGGCTTGTTTTGCTCGGCTGAATAAGCTACCAGCAGCTGGCCTGGGGAAGGACAGGTTGGGAAGGAAAGAGAAGGGAGCTTGTGTCCATGGAAAAACTTCCACATTCGAGCAGGCCGGCAGAGTAGAGATTTGGCAGGGTTGAAAAAGCCACCTAAAGTATAAATAGATACTACAGGAAGAGAGGGAGGGGAGTTATCCATCCAGCTCATCTGAAAGACAGTGAATAAGCGAGATACAGATTTGTTCCATAAATCTTTTTTTCTCTCTCTCCCAAGTAAGGGCAACAAGGACTAGTCTTGGCTTTGCCAACTCTGCAGTCCATCAAGCCAAAATAAATAAATAAATAAAAATCATTTTTGGATTTCTTTTTAAAGGAAAAAAAAAGTTTGTAAACCCCCTCCCTCTCTCTCTCTGCTTAACCCACCTCGTCTCTCTTGTAAAAACCCAATTTCATCGTTCGTTTTGCAGCAAGATAGATAGAAGATAGAATTGAAGATAGATAGAATTCAAGACAGATAGAAGATAGAATTCAGGATAGATAGAGGTTGGATAACCATTTGTCTGAAGGGGTGTAGGGTTTCCTGCCTAAGCAGGGGGGTGGACTAGAAGACCTCCAAGGTCCCTTCCAACTCTGTTTTTAATTTAATTTAATTTAATTAATTCAATTTATATACCGCCCCTCTCCGAAGACTCAGGGCGGCTCACAATACATTTTAAAAAATCATTATAAAAACATTAAAAAATTAAAAACATTAAAAACATTTTCTTATTTCTTATTTCTATTCCTAGTCTATTCTTTATTGGCCAAATGTGAATGGACACCCAAGGGATTTGTCTTCGGTGCAAAAGCTCTCAGTGAACATTTAAAAATGCATTCATCAAGAATCATAAGATACAACACTCAATGATAGTCATACAATACTAAACAAGCCATCAAATCGTACTAGGAAACCAAATAAAACAGTATAAACCGTAGATACAAGCAACAAGGTTATAGTCATTAAGGAGAAAGAGATGGGTAATAGGAAGGATGAGAAGAAGAATAAAAGCTATATAGTAAAAATCTAAAAACCTATATAATAAAAATATAAAAAACTATATAGTAAAAATCTAAAAAACTATATAATAAAAATATAAAAACCTATATAATAAAAATTAAAAACCTATATAGTAAAAATCTAAAAACCTATATAATAAAAATATAAAAACCTATATAGTAAAAATCTAAAAAACCTATATAATAAAAATATAAAAACCTATATAGTAAAAATCTAAAAAACTATATAATAAAAATATAAAAAACTATGTAGTAAAAATATAAAAAACTATATAGTAAAAATAGTAAAAACTGTCAAACTGGGATTAAAAAACCAGGGGAAAGAGGCTGGCCGGTGGTGGGGAAGAGACCCCGATTTCAGGTTCTGCCATTCTGGGTTGAGATTTGATTTGATTTTTTGATTTTTGAACTAGCCTCTCGGTTTTTAATTAGAAAGTTAAATAAAGCGCCGGAGCGGAGGGCTAATTAACATTTCGCAGCCACTGAGCCGCCGAGCCTAAAGGGGGGAAAACTTGAAACTCTCGCAGCCCAAAAATATTCACGGGAAAAGATCTGCACTGGGGTTTTTTTTTTTTCCGCCTCCTTCGCCAGTCCTCGAGCCCTTTCCTTTCCTCGAGGAGCTCTCAGGATGGGCGCAAAAGCGGCGCAAACCGACTTGTCCATCGACCCTTGCTCCAACATCCGCCCAAGGCTCTATTTTTGGGGGGGGGGTTGAGATTTCCAAGGATGCTCTTTCCAGCCTAGCTTCCCTCTTCCCCTTTCCCCCTTTCCCTCCCTCTGCTTTTGCCCAGCCCCTGCCCCGTGTCCAGCCATCCTCCACCCACCCACGCACGCCATGCCACTCTCGGGATAAATCAATCATTCCTCATCCGAGTCAAGCTCTCCAAACTTCATACTTCCTGCTTGGGGTGGAAGGAACCTGGGATCGGGGGGGCCCGCCGCGTGGGCGCTTGGTAGACCCCCAGCGGGCGAGCGAAGGAGACCACCCACCCACGCGAGATCGCGAGTGGGGTGGAGATTTAAAACCTGGTTCCCAACCGGAGGACTTTTTGGCTAGAAAGCAAGGACCCCCCTCCCCAAAAAAAGCCAGTGGGAGGGTGGGGAAGCCTTCAGGGTCGCGCCCGCGAAATAGAACCCCACCCCACCCACTCATTTACTTACCAGCATCGGAGGGGGACCCCGAAGTTTGTGGCCGGCGCCGCCGCTGCTTCGGGGCTCCGACGGGCCCCCCCACTTTTTCAAACCATGCCCAGCTGCGGCTTCTCCTTCCCCGAAGAGCAAAGCAGCAGAGGCAGAACCCCAGGGCGCAGCGCAACGTCGCTCCTCCTTCCCAAATTTGCTCCCACCCACCCACCAACCAACCAACCTACCCACCCCCAAAAGTGGGGGGAGCGATCCCAGAGGCTGGAGGGGAAGGTGGAGCGATGGGCAAGGGAGAGGGACGGGTTTGGAGAGGGGGAAGGTCACTCTGCGAGGAAGCGGTGGGGAGGGGAGGGCATCCACGCACTGGGGGAGGACAGCCCGAGGGAGGGGTCGAAAGGAAGGGGGCAAAGCTGGGAAAAGGAGGGGGCGTTGGGAAGCCTCCCACGCGTGGCCAAACCCGTCTCTATCCACTCCCTCCTCTCCTTCTTCCTCCCCAATCTGTTCCTCCCACTCCTTGGCTCTCGCGCGAGGCTGGCCCGCTTCACCCACCCACCCACTTTTAAGAGGGGGGGGCGACGGTGCAGAGCCGCGCAGGACGAGGGTCTTTATTTCTCCGTCCCGTGGGCGGATGGCGAAAAGTTTGATTTTGCAACAACAAAGAAACTTTTGTTTCCATAAGTTGCTCTGGGAGGAAGAGAGAGAGAGACGCGAGATAGAGACGTCGAAGAGGTTTGCATTTTTTTTTTAAATTTTGATTTATATGCCGCCCTTCTCCGGAGACTCAGGACGGTTTACAATGCGTTAAGCAATAGCCTTCATCCTTTTGTATATTTTATACAAAGTCAGCTTATTGCCCCCACAAACTGGGTCCTCATTTAGGCTGCCAGTCCGGAGTCCAATTGGGGGGCAGGTGAAAAAAAAAAAAGGGGGGGGCTGGGATTGGAGAGAGATTATTGGGGGGGACTGGAGAAATCGATGCGTTGCTCCCCGCCCCCCCCTCCAGTGATTCTCTCTCCTTGCATGTTGAAGACTTTGGGGGAGAAAATGCAGAGAAGAGCCACTAAGATGAATAAAACATAGGAAGAAACGGTTGCAGGATTTGGGTATGGCTAGTCTAGAGAAAAGAAGGACTAAGAGGGGAACAGGATAGCAGTCTTACAATATTTGAGGGGCTGCCCCAAAGAAGAGGGGGTCAAATTATTCTCCAAAGCACCAGAAGGCAGGACAAGAAGCAACTGGATGGAAACTAATCGAGGAGAGAAGCAACCTGGAATTAAGGAGAAACTTCCTAACAGTGAGGACAAATATCCAGTGGAACACCTTGCCACCAGAAGTTGTGGGTGCTTCATCGCTGGAGGTTTTTAAGAAGAGACTGGACAGCCATTTTGTCTGAGGTGGTATGGGGTTTCCTGCCTTGAGCAGGGGGTTGGGCTAGAAGACCTCCAAGGCCCCTTCCAGCTCTATTCGGAATCTTGTTCCACAGCTTTGCAAATCCCTTAGGAGAAACTCGATCCCTTGAACATCTGCCTCCTGGGCAGCCATTAAAGCAGTCATTCTCAATCTCAGCAACTTGAAGAGGTGTGGACTTCAACTGCCAGAATTATTGAAGCCAGCAGGATTAAAGCTGCAGGATTCTGGGAGTTGAAGTCCACCTCTCTTAAAGTTGCAGAATTCTGGGAGTTGAAATCCACCTCTCTTAAAATTGCAGAATTCTGGGAGTTGAAGTCCACCTCTCTTAAAATTGCAGAATTCTGGGAGTTGAAGTCCACCTCTTAAAATTGCAGAATTCTGGGAATTGATGTCCACTCCTCTTAAAATTGCAGAATTCTGGGAGTTGAAGTCCACCTCTCTTAAAATTGCAGAATTCTTGGAGTTGAAGTCCACCTCTCTTAAAATTGCAGAATTCTGGGAATCGATGTCCACCTCTCTTAAATTGCAGAATTCTGGGAGTTGAAATCTACCTCTCTTAAAATTGCAGAATTCTGGGAGTTGAAGTCCACCTCTCTTAAAATTGCAGAATTCTGGGAATCGATGTCCACTCTCTCTTAAAGTTGCAGAATTCTGGGAGTTGAAGTCCACCTCTCTTAAAATTGCAGAATTCTGGGATTGATGTCCACTCCTCTTAAAAGTTGCAGAATTCTGGAGTTGAAGTCCACCTCTCTAAAGAGATTTCTGAATCGATGTCCACCTCTCTTAAAATTGCAGAATTCTGGGAGCTGAAGTCCACCTCTCTAAAATTGCAGAATTCTGGGAGTTGAAGTCTACCTCTCTTAAAATTGCAGAATTCTGGGAGCTGAAGTCCACCCCTCTTAAAAATTGCAGAATTCTGGGAGTTGAAGTCCACCCCTCTTAAAAGTTGCCGAGATTGAGAAAAATTATCTTTTCAATCAAACTTGGAGCTGGCTTGAAAAAATGGGACAACTCTTGTTTCCGCTAGAGCAGTGAAAGAGATCCTCCAGTTAATGCAGGAATTACAGTACCCAGCCTTCCCCCATCCTAGCTGGGGCTCCTGATCTTTTTGGGTCTTGAAAGATTCCCACACAAAGTGAGTCGAAGACTTAAGAAACCCCAGGACAAATTGAATTCCTCCAGCTTGTCAATTTCTCCATCCTTGTATTTACATGGACTCACAAACACACACCTGGAGCTAAAACCAACCAACCAAAAAGTTGTAACCTCATTCGGACAACTACATTCTTAAAACAAAGCAGGCAGGAAGTTAACCAGCTAACCGTTGCACGCAAGAAAGAGAAGGTTCTCTTGCAAACCATGATACGTAGTTTACAAGATCTTCTGGCCTTGAATCAATGGTTATGAAAGTAACTATGAGTCTTATTAGAAGGAGGGGATCATCTTGTGTGAATGTCACTGGCCTAAGGCGGCCTTCCTTGATTCGACACCCCCCATATACAGGGCCGGATTTTCCTATAGGCAACTAGGCTTCAGCCTAGGGCCTCAAGATCAAGAGGGGCCTACATTCCCTACATTCAAATTGTTAGCAAAATTAAAATTACACTTTCACTATAGGTGAAAGGGCCTCATAAATGGAATAGCCTAGGGCCTCTTTTCATCTAAATCCGGCCCTGCCCATATATGTTGGGGTTCAGCACCCCATTGATCATGGGGGTCCCAATCCATCTGCAGCACTGAGAGAAGTCTGCGGTATAAGAAGCCAACACGGTGGACATCCCTTCCTCATTGAGGTCAACTCAACACCATCATCTTTCCTTTTAAGAAACAGAGTTGGAAGGGACCTTGGAGGTCTTCTAGTCCAGCCCCCTGCTCAAGGAGGAGACACTACACCATTCCAGACAAGTGGATGTCCAGTCTCTTCTTAAAAACTTCCAGCGTTGGAGCATTCACAACTTCTGGTGGCAAGCTGTTCCACTGGTTAATTGTCCTCACTGTTAGGAAGTTTCTCCTTAGTTCTAGGTTGCTTCTCTCCTTGGTTAGTTTCCATCCGTTGTTTCTTGTCCTGCCTTCTGATGCTTTGGGAAATAAGTTGACCCCCTGGAATGGACAGCCATTTGTCTGGAATGTTAGAGGGTCTCTCTCTGGGGTTGGACTAGAAGACCTCTAAGGTCCCTTCCTACTCTGTTATGCTCTATTCCCTCTTCTTCAGCCCCTAAGATATTTGAATACTGCTACTATCATGTCCTCCCTGGTCCTTTTTTTCTCTAGACTGGCCATACCCAATTCTAGCAATTTTTTAAAATATTTTTAGCTTTTTCGTCCGCTAATCTTCTTTGTTGTTCGAGAACCTCAAGTACCAACCCCAGACAGATCCTTTGGTTTGGGTGGTCTAATAGCGAAGAGAAAGTGAATAAAGAGAGTCTATTCATCCATGGTTTGACCGAGAAGGAGTCGATGGACAAATATTTATGAGCATACTTGGAATTCTTTTACCCAAGAAAAGTTTCTCTACAAGTCTAAACGCAGTTTGTTATCAGCGTTTTGAATGATTGGCATGCGAAGACTGTAACAACTGCCTCTTTATATACCGTAATTCAGGCATTTCGAACCCTGACCCCACCCAAGTGGCCTTCTCTGGGTTCCAGAGATTAACCAGGATTAAGACTGGTTAGTACCGAAAGTCCTCGACGTCCGCGACCACAACTGAGCCCAACCTTTACGGTCAGTTAAGCGCGAGAACATTTGTTAAAGTGAGTTTCGCCCCGTTTGGGGATTTTTCTCGCCGCATTGGGGAAGCAAAGCCTTGCCGTCGTTAAATTAGCAACACGGTTGTTAAGCGAATCTGGCTTTCCCCCCCCTCCTTGACTTTGCTCACCAGAAGATCACAAAAGAAGATTGTGTGACACATACACCCTGGGATGCAGCAATGGTCATAAATGTGAGTCAGTTGTCAAGCATCCTGAATATAAATCATGTGACCACGAGGAGGCTGCAGAGGTCGTAAGTCTCCTGTTTGGGCGGGGTTGGGGTTGGACTAGATGACCTGCAAGGTCCCTTCCAACTCTTATTAATCTGTTAAACATTAAAGACCACGAATCTTTAAAAGTTGCCAATTTCAGTACAACCTTCTCAGGGTTGTTGTTTTTTTTTCATTGGGACCATCAGCAAAACCAGGACCTCATCACTGGTAGTCCTTGACTTATGGCCACAATTGGTCGTAACGTTTCTGTTGCTAAGCGAAACGTGGGTTAAGTGAATTCCGCCCCATTTTCTTGCTAGCGTTGTTAAGCGAAGTACTGCCGTGGTTTCAGTTAGGAACACGGGACGTTAAGCGAATCCGGCTTCCCCGTTGGATTTGCTCACGTGACCCTGGGACAGTGCAACCGTCATAAATACGAGTCCATTGCCGAGCGTCTGGATTTTGATCACATGATCGTGGAGGGGAATGCAACAGTCGTAAGTGTGAAAAACGGTCATAAGTCACTTTTTTCAGTGCCGTTGTAACTTCAAATGGTCACTAAGTGAACCGTCATAAGTCAAGGACTGCCTGTAGTTTATTGGGAGACTACTGTTACAATTCTAAACTAATTAAGCATTATGGTTGAACATTTTTCCACTTTGTGATCATATAACCTACCGTATTTTACAGAGTATAAGACGCTCCGGAGTATAAGACACACTGGAGTATAAAATGCACATTAGTTTTTGGGGAGGAAAACAAGAAAAAAAATATTCTGCCTCTGCCTACCAGCATCCATCGGTATTCATCTGGTTAGCATCCTTGCAGCAAACAGCAAACAGCCTGGTCAGTTTCAGCACATTATCGCAGCCTGATTCAGCACGAGCAGCTGATTGGTGGGTGGATCGGCTTCCGGAGTACCACCAATCAGCTGTTCCAGGCTGTGGGGATCGCCACAGACTATCGCCACCTTCATGCCTCGTGTTTTTGGCCTCCGAATGCTCACCGCCTGGAACCACCCCAAAATGTGATGCGTGGAGGCCAGAAACAGGACGTGCGGAGGCCAAAAATGCAACACGCGGAGGTGGCAATTGGCGGCGATGTGCTGTGGCGATCCCCGCAGCCTGAAACGGGTCTAAAACAACATGTGGAGGCTGAAAATGCGATGTGTGGAGGCCAAAAATGGCTGAAGGGTGGGGGCTGGTGGGCGGGCGGGGCTACATTCGGTGTATAAGACGCACCCAAATTTTCACCCTCTTTGGGGGGGGCGGAGTGCATCTTATACTTGTTGTCGTCCGCCAGCAGCCTACGGAGCTGACAGCAGAGTCAGACAGGAGGCTGAGGAAGAACAGGGGCC